CAGGTACGTTGTTTCACCGGCAGGGTCTCGCATGGACGAAACAAATCGCGAACCTCTACGTGGAACACGCATGCATCTCAGAGAACGTCTGGATCTGACACCGGTGAGCGCTTCTTGGGAGCGCGTTCTTTCCACCTCGAATTTGAGCAAACGAAGCATGCTGGAGCCGAGCATGGCAGGGAGAAAAGCGCGGGCAATCCTCCGATGGTAAACTGACTTGCAAAACAGAGTAGCTTTGATAACTGGTAGGCTGGAAACTTGGCTGGAAAAGCTCAACAGAGCTGCTGGACTTGGCTTGATAAGAGAAAACTTCACTATGATCAAGATTAACAAGCCCACTAAAGCACAACTTCTTAAGCATTACAAACATGCAGATTGATAGCTCAAACTAGGCTGCTAGACAAGGCAACTTCCTTGGGAACTTGGGCACAATTCAGATTCCATGAACCTTGAGTGATTTGAGAGCCACATGAGGTGCATGAATAAGAAATCTCTGGAATGTACTGTTATAGCTGATTCTGTTTTGTAGAAACCTGTAGAAACTGTCGACCCTTCTGTTTGAGGGCAATCCCGAACTGTATCGAGTCTTCGGCTGCAATCTGATTTGCTGCGGAAGTTTCTGAATTTTCGCGAAGCCTTCAATCCGTCGCCGACATTCTTGCTGCTCCTTGTGTGCAAAGGGCTGGGGCGGCAGAGACTCAATTCTCCAACACTCCCCCTCGCACCAGACCCGAAGCACACATACGCCCATTCTTACTCTCCTCTTACATCTCCTTGGCATACACTCCATGCTGCTGCCCATGTTGCTTCTCCTCATTCTCCTCAAACTGCTGCACTGCTTCATGAAGTGTCATGAGACCTGCTCTTGCCTTGCACATGTTGAATGCATCATGTGGAAGAACCTTAGTCATGAAATCTGCCGCTTGGTCGAATGAACGGCAAAAGTTGACGGCAAGAACTCCCTTCTCTAGTTGCTCATGAATGAAATGGTACTGCACCTCGATGTGTTTTGTACGCCCATGATGAATCGGATTCTTGGAGAGGGCGATAGCTGAAGTGTTGTCCACGTAGAGCGGAGTTGGTTGAGTTTGCGGCTGCCTCAAGTCCTCCAAGAGTCCACGTAACCAAATTGCCTCCCTTGCTCCTTCGGTCATTGCTATGTACTCAGCTTCGGTTGTAGAAAGCGCCACACAACTTTGCTTGCGCGATTGCCAAGAAACAGCGGCACCGCACATAAGGAAGATATAGCCACCGGTGGACTTGCGTGTGCTCAAATCTCCCGCCCAATCTGCATCGGTAAAGCCTTGGAGGGAGCTTGCATGTGGGCTGGCTTGGAAGAGAAGACCATGATTAGAAGTACCTTTGAGATACCGAAGAGCTCGCTTGGCTGCATGCATATGGATAGGTGATGGGGCACTCATGTGTTGAGCGAGCTTGGATACCATGAATGCTAGGTCGGGCCTTGTGCATAGGGCTGCATACATGAGACACCCAACCTGACTTTGGTAGAGAGCTAGGTCTTGTGGGGATACCTTGGGTGAATTCTCACCATGATGCTCACTCTCCTCAAGACACAACACCTCAATACCCGTGATATCCAGGCTTGACTCTCTCTCCTCAAAGGGCTGATGTGAAGACAAAGGGACAAAGTTGGTAGGAAGTGGGGTAGGTGATGGCTTGCTATCATCAAGACCAAACCTCTCAAGGACCTTTTGGATGTACCTTTGCTGGAATAGGAAGATGGACCGTGACTTATGATCTCTCACAATGTTCATACCAAGATAATGACTCGGCTCACCAAGATCGGTCATTGTGAATGCACTCATGAGAATACCTTTCACCTTGTTGAGGAGATCAAGAGAACCTGAGACTAGGAGGAGATCATCGACATATACCAAGAGCCAAATGTACTCCCCCTCACTCGTGTGCATGAAGTACAACGCGTTGTCTCTCATGGACCTTGTGAAACCGTGCTTGAAGAGTACCTTCTCAAGAGCATGATACCATACCCGTGGGGACTGTTTAAGACCATAAAAGGGACTTTACCAAGCGACAAACTCGACCCGTACCATCATCATAACCTTCGGGTTGTGCCATGTATACCTCTTCTTCCAATACACCGTAGAGAAATGCGTTCTTGACATCTATTTGATGGATATGGAGACCAAGATATGCGGCTATGGCGAGGAGGACTCGTACTGTGGTGTACTTCGCTACTGCGGCAGAGGTTTCGGTGAAGTCTAGACCTGGAATTTGGGAATAACCTTTTGCCACTAACCTTGCCTTGTACCTATCAAGTGTACCATCACCTTTTACCTTAATCTTGTACACCCACTTGACACCAATTACCTTCTTCCCTGGAGGTGGCTCAACAAGACGCCATGTACCTCTCTTCATGAGACTCTCAATCTCTTCTTCCTCGGCCTTCAACCATTGCTCTCTCTCGGGACTTGCCACTGCCTCACGACGACTCAATGGCTCTCGTGGAAGGTGTGACGCTGCCATGCATATTGCCTCTACCTTCTTGTGAATGCTATCCTCGCTCTCCTCACATGTGCACCTTGATGACATGTCAACCATGAATGTGAAGGCCTTTTTTACCTTGCGGACTCGTTTACCTTTACCCAAAGCCTCACTTGGCTGAGACAAATCAATGGTAGGGTTCGGTCTCACAGTGGTTGGATGCGTTGACACGGTCATCTGCGGCTGAGACAATGGCTGCGACATCGGCTGCGACGGCGGCACGACTGCATGATCTTCTCCCGGCATGGAACTCTCTCGATTATCGGTGTTGACTTGAGGAATAGGTGTGGTGACTTGTGTCGGTGAAGCTGAAATGTTCGTCGGCATAGTTGGCTGTGAAGATTCTCTTGGTGGGGATCTTGAGACTAGAAGCTTGGGAATTGATGATGACGCTGCGTTGTCGAAAGTTGGAGACGGTTCGGTCTGATTGGCGCTGGTTCTTGGTGTTGAAGATGGCGGTAACTGATGACGGCCGATTTCGGGACGTGGGGGTGAAGTTGAGAAAGGTCTTGGGTGAAGAAGTGGGCTATTGGAGCTGGTGTTGGTGGTGATTCGCTGAAGTGATCCTCGTGCTATGAGCTGGCTTGACGTTGGAACCTGAAGTGATGAACGTGTGTGAGAACGAGATGTTGCGGTAATGGTTGTCTTGTTGGTAGGAAGAATTGTAGATGGTGCTGATGTAGGTACTTGGAGTCTTGTAGCTGTAGGTTGCTGCTGCATTGGATGATGGTGAGCTTCTGTAGTTGCCTCTGAATTGACGGCTGGTGATGGGTTTGATGGTGTAGTGGTGGGCTGATCCGGGTGACGTTGAACTTGCGGGGTTGGTGTTGAAGTAGCTGGCTGGTTGATGACGGTTGGCTGCTGCTCTTTTGGCGGTGATGTTGCGGAAATAACTACTACAACGGGAGCTTAGAGTACTGGCTAGGCACGTGTGTTCGTGTGATGTCTGCGTTCGTTGGTCCTTAGACGTTTTCCTAGTGCTCACACTGCTTGCTAGTTCACGGGGCAATTTGGCAAGAGTTTCACTAGAGAAATTTGTCAATAATCGTACAATGAAGTTGGCAATGCAAGACTACATCAGAGCTAGCATTCAAGTTGGTCGACTGCCAGCACAGCATGGTCGACCGCGTTCCAGCACGACTTGGTCGACCACGCTACAGCAGTGCAAAGTCGACAGCTTGCCAACGCTACAGGTTGACGGTGTGCCAGCATTGCTCACGCAGGACAGCAGTGCACCCGCTTTGCAGGTGCGCGCAGATGATTGGCATGCAAAGTCTCGTCACCTGCACAGCGCACACACCACGTCAACCTCGGGCTAGCGTCTGCCTCTGATCCGCCACGACGACCTCGGGATACCACCATGGAGGTCGGTCTCGCCAACTTCGCCTGGGTGACCGTCGCACTCCTTCGCAGAACCTCGTCACCCAGGTATCCTAGTCGACCGGGCAACTATGTCGACCAGCTGCTCCTGTATGTGCTCGTCGACCTCCCAAGTCGACAACCACACCAGGTCGACCTCACCAGGTCGACCACTCCTCCGGTCGACCAGATCCAGGTCGACGTCACTCCTGGTCGACCAGTGCAGTTGTCAGCTACCCAAGTCGGCGTCACCAGGTCGACGCCCCTTCTACGTTGGCGCCGACTTCCAGACTGACCTCTTGAAGTTGGCGACCTCCCAAGTCGGCGACCTTGCAAGTCGGTGACCTTGCAAGTCGGTGATCTTGCAAGTCGGTGACCTTGCACGTCGGCGCCGACTTCCAGGTCGACGTGCCACATCGCCGACCACCAGTTGAAGTCGGCCGCTGGCTTCCCAAGTCGGCGGTATTGCAGTGGCGCCGTGCAAGTCGACCAACCCCGTCGACCAGCTCGTCCAAGTCGGCGTCGCCCACTGCTGCAAGTCGGCTGTACCTTCCGTACACCCCACCACGAAGTCGGCTCCGCCCAAGCGTGGACGGGGCCAACACACAACTCCCGTTGACACTCCCCTGCCGCGTTCACGCTTGGCCCCCCCAAGTCCACTTGGCAGTACTCCTCGGAGAATAGCTCGTCGACGTGCACCCAACACACAGCACGTCGTCCACCGCACCAGCCATGCAAGAGGGCATGGCACCTACTGCTGCACGTTGTCATCTTCGTCGCCCACGTCGGCCAAGCGCACCTGGCCGATGGCGACGGAGCACCGGTTGAAGGCCGGATAGTGCAGCGCCTTCGTCAGGAAGTCGGCCGGCTGCTCAGTGGTCGGGATGTACCTCAGCGAGAACTTCCCGCGCTTCACCATGTGCTGCAGCCAGGCCTGTCGCCGCTCCATGTGCTTGAGGTTGCCCGTCAACCCCATGCCCTCGACGACTGTGATGGCCGACTTGTTGTCCACCCGAAGGACGGTCGGCTTCCCGGCATCCAGCTGCTGGAACTCTGCAAGGAGGAAGCGAAGTCGGCGTCCTTCCTTGCCAGCTTCGGTGGTTGCCACGTACTCCGACTCAGTCGATGACAACGTCGCACACTTGATGCGCTGGCTCGACCAGGAGACTGCGGCCCCTCCATAGACGAACACGTAGCCACCCGTGCTCGTCCTGTTCTGCTTGTCACCGGCGTCGTCGGCGTCCACGTAGCCGACCAGCTCCAGCGACTCAGGTCCACCGCCGAACTCCAGTGCGGTGTCGCGCGTATTGGCGAGGTAGGCGAGGCAGCGGTCGACCTCGCGCCAGTGCTGGTCGCTCCTCACCGTGAGGCCGCTCCCCAGCTTGCTGCAGGCGAAGGCGATGTTCGGCCTCGTCGTCGTCGCCGCGAACTGCAGCGAGCCGACCTTCTGCCGGTACTCCTCTTCCTGCCGCTCCTGTGCCTCCTCGTCATCGAACGTGAGCTCGGCGTAGGCATCGACCGAGACCGGCGTCTTCGGGGTGCGCCCGGTCTGCTCCTCGTCGATGAAGCGCCTACAAAGCTTGTCGGCGTAGCCCTGCTGGTGCAGCCACAGCTTCCCCGCCGACCTGTCGCGGACGATCTCCAGCCCGAGGTACTTCTGCACCGGCGAGATCTCACGCAGCTCAAAGGCGGCTTCCAGAAGCTCCTTCAGCTCCTTCAACATCGCGGCGCTACTGCTGGCGGCAAGTAGGTCGTCAACGTAGACCAGCACCCAGCAGGCCACTCCGTCCTTTCCGTCCTTGAAGTAGAGAGCCTCGTCGACTTGGCTCTTCTTCCACCCGGCGCCGACCAGCACGTCATTGAGCGCCAAGTACCATAGCAGCGGCGACTGCTTTAGCCCGTACAGGCTCTTCAGCAGCTTGCACACCCGGCCGGTCCCGTCGTTGAAGTAGTCCGGCTGGGACATGTAGAGCACCCTGTCGAGCTTGCTCTGCAAGAAGGCGTTCTTCATGTCGAGTTGCATCAGGTTGAGGTTGCGGACGGCGACGATGCTGAGGAAGATCCTCAGCGTGACGTAGCTGCCCACCGGCGCGAACGTCTCATCGTAGTCGGCGCCGTACACCTGCGTGAAGCCCTTCACAACCAGCCTCGCCTTTTCGCGCTCGACGGTGTCGTCGACGTGGTACTTCGTCGTCAACACCCACCGGTTCTTCATGACGTTCACTCTCGGCGGACGTTCGACCAACTCCCACGTTCCCATGTTGAGGAGGCTGCGAATCTCCTCCTCCATGGCGGCCTTCACCGCCGGGCCCTTCTAGCTCGCCAACGCCTCCTTCACCGTCATCGTCGAGATGTCCCAACGGTGCTCGGGGTCGGCTAGCATGTCGGGGTCGAGCTCTGGAAACTTTTCATCCTCCTCGGCATCGTCGTACAGCAGGTCGTCAGCCTCATCGTCCACGTCGTACACCGTGGTGAAGGCAGCGGGGACGAAGAAGTCAGGCGTTCTCCGAAGTCGGCCTGAACGCCGTGGTCCTGGCTGGACCTCCTCGGCGTCCCCTCCATCGTTGCTGTTGTCGCTGCCCTCGGCGTCCTGCTGCTCCTCAGCCGGCGTCCCAGCCGACTTCTCCCCTATGGTCGGCTCCCCTGCCGACTGCCCGGTCGCCGACTGCTCCTTGGTCGGCGTCACTGCTGCCTGCTCCTTTGTCGGCCGCTGGTCCTCGACCTGCTTCTCGACCTGCTCCTCCCCCGTCGACGTCGACCTGCAATCCCACGTCGACCTGCCGCTCGTCACGTCGGCCACCGGCGATGCACTTGGCCGAAGGCGACGTCCCGCTACTCCCCTCATCGCCGGAGGCCGACACCGAGGTCAGCCCATGCACGTCGGCCACGAGGGGAGGGGCAGGGGTCGGAGGGGGAGGGGTAGGGGGGCGGACGTCCTCGACGTCCGTAATAGCAAGCTCACCGACCTCGGCAAGCAGTGGCAGCGTCGCCGACGAGGTGTCAGAGGGCGGGGTGGGCGACGAGCGGCCGGACACCGACCCGTACTCCTTCTTCCACTCGGCCAGCGTCAGCTCCTCGTAGAACACCACATCCGACGTGGTGACCACCCGGTCGGCGTCGACGTCGAGGAGCTCCCAGCCCTTGCTCGCCGCGGACACGCCAAGGTGCAGGCCCCACCTGGCCTTCGGCTGCAGCTTCCCACCACGGTGCTGCTCGGTGAGTAAGAACTGCGCCATGCAGCCCCACACCCGCGCCAGCGACAAGTCGGGTTTCTTCCCGGTCAGCAATTGGTACGGCGTCGTCCCCGGCGGCAGCGCCGACCTCTCAAGGCAGTTGCGGACCCAGACGGCCTGCCGGAGAGCGAGGTGCCACCAGTGGTGCTGCACGCCCATGTGCAGCAGCATTGTCCGCACTGACTCCACCACCGTCCTCATCTCCCGCTCCGCCATGCCGTTCTGCTGCGGGGTGTATGGGCAGGTCAGGTCGTGGACGATCCCCTTGCCGTTCACGAAGTCGGTGAACTGCTTCCCGAGGAACTCCCCTCCCCGGTCAGAGCGCAGCATTAACACCAACTTCTTCGTCTGCCGCTCAGCCACTGCCAGCCACTGCACGAACGCCGGCAACGCATCTGACTTCTTGGTGACCGGCTTCACCCACACGTAGCGGGTCTTGCGGTCCTTCAGCAACAAGAAGTACAGGCTGCCATCCTTGGCAGCCACGCGGAATGGCCCGCACAGGTCGATGTGCACGACGGCCAGCACATCGTCGGCGTCGGAGCCTTGGTCGGGGAAGGTGTGCCGCGCCAGCTTCCCGCCGACGCACGAGACACACGGGGAGTCGGCGCCCGTCGCCGACTTGGGGTCCAGCCCAATGGCGACCTCGTTCTTCGCCGAGCTCCGTATGGTGTCCATGCCGACATGTGCAAGCCGGGCATGCATACGGTCCGGCGTCGACTTCGTCTTTGAGACGATCGCCCGCAGAGCCACAACCTCCGTCGTGGGCGACGTCGACCTCGTTGAGCAGGGACGCAGGTCGGTGCAGAGGACACGCCCGGAGTACATCGCCCGACCGAGCACCTCTCCCGTTGCCGAGACGAGCACCATCCCGTCGCCGTCCTCTTGCAGCTTCACGCCGTGCTCCTTAAGCTGGCCGGACGACAGCAAGTTCGCCCGCACACCCGGGACGTACAGCACGTCGGGGATGAGCACCTGCTTCCCGGCCTCCCCATGCAGGGCGACGGTGCCGCGGCCCTGGACATCCTGCAGCGCCCCATTGAAGCCGCGCACGTGCTTGATGAAGCCGCTCGGCTGCAGGTCGACGAAGACTTCCTTCGTCCCCATCAGGTGGTGGGAGCAACCGCTGTCGAGCAGGACCACTGCCGGGTTCGCCTGCACAGCTGCCGCCACCGCCTGGAAGTCCTCTCCGGCCTCCGGTGCCAGCGAGACGGTCGGCTCCACGACGCCGACCAGCGAGCACGACGCCGTCTTGTCATCCCGCGCCTTGCTTCCAGCAGGGGAGTCGGCGTCGCTCGCCGAAGTCGACGTCTTGGTCGACTGCTTCTCCTTGCGCGGCCGGTTTCCTCCTCGACGAGGACGACGACTGCTTGACCTCTCGCGGCCGCCCTTGTTGTCGTCGTCGGAGTCACTGCGGTCGGGACACTCGAAGGAGAGGTGATTGGGGCTGTGGCAGATCCAGCACTCCCGACGTCGACCTCCCCCTCCTTGACCGCCGTCCTTGGTCGACTTCTTCTCGACCTCCTTGGTCGACTTCCAGCCACCGCTCCCGCCGCCACCAGACTGTCCGCGCTCTCCTGGTCGGCCTCCTTGCTTCGCCGGGGCGACGAAGCTGGCCTGCACCAAGAGTTCCTGTGACCGCTCAACTTCTTGCATCGCCTCGTCCTACAGGATGTATGAGGTCAGGTTGTCCTCGTTGAGCGTCGCCCTTGTGCTCGGCGCCATGGACAGCCGTTTCAGGAGGTTATAGCTGCTAGAAAGTCCCTGCATGACATGGGTGATGTACGACGCCGTGGAGTACTGCGCGCCGGCCATCCTGATAGTGGCGAGAATTCGCCGGGCTCGGTTGCAGTAGTCAGTCGCTGTCTCCTCGTCACCCATACGCAGGTGCGTCAGCTGTCCCTCCAGCTGGGCGATGAACAGGTCATCGGTGACCTGGTACGTCGACTCAATGAAGTGCCACGCCCGGTGGCCGGCGTCGATGTACTCCCGGCACCACTTTAAGGCGATCTGCACGCCCGGCGAGCAGCACCGCGAGATGACCGTGAAGGTCAAAAGCTGCACGGCGCGGAACTCCGCCCGCAAGTCGGGGTGGTGTTCTCCAGGCGTCACCACGGTCCCTCGGGCGAAGCCGATCAGCCCAGCCATCTTCAGCTGGGGCTCGATAGCTTCCTTCCAGGTGAGAATGTCGGGTCGACCGAACAGTGGGGGGGTGACCGAGATCCTGTCCGGCGTGAACTTGAAGTAGCCGTAGCTCGGCGCAATCCCACCTGCCGTCACCTGGGTCGCCGTCATCGGCGACAGCCCACTACGTCGGCCTCCGACGTCACCCTGCGAAGAGCCTGCAGCCGCCGACGTCTGCATCCCTCGCGCCTGAACGCCGCCGACTTCACCGGCATGTATCACACCTCTTAGCCTCGACGTGCCTCCAGCACTGCTGCCGACTTGACCACCACCGGCGTTGACGCCCACGTCGACGCCGCCATCGTTGTTCACCGGACGAGGAGAGGCAGGTCGAGACGGGTGCTCCGTCGCCCACGTGGAGCGGAGTCCAGCCTCAACGACCGCCCAAGGCAAGTCGCCATACTCGTTGGCCTCGTGCTTCCTCGTCGCGTTCTCCAACCGTGCCTCCAGGGTGTCTACCACCCCCGCGTCACCTACGACTCCTACCATAGTGACTACCACACAGTTGCCGGCCTGTAACTACGAAATAGGTAAGTGGTGTCTACGTCGACCTGACTGAAGGGTAAGTCGTGTGCCGTCCACGCTCACCGCACCATGCGAAAATAACTACTACAACGGGAGCTTAGAGTACTGGCTAGGCACGTGTGCTCGTGTGATGTCTGCGTTCGTTGGTCCTTAGACGTTTTCCTAGTGCTCACACTGCTTGCTAGTTCACGGGGCAATTTGGCAAGAGTTTCACTAGAGAAAGTTGTCAATAATCGTACAATGAAGTTGGCAATGCAAGACTACATTAGAGCTAGCATTCAGGTTGGTCGACTGCCAGCACAGCATGGTCGACCGCGTTCCAGCACGACTTGGTCGACCACGCTACAGCAGTGCAAAGTCGACAGCTTGCCAACGCTACAGGTTGACGGTGTGCCAGCATTGCTCACGCAGGACAGCAGTGCACCCGCTTTGCAGGTGCGCGCAGATGATTGGCATGCAAAGTCTCGTCACCTGCACAGCGCACACACCACGTCAACCTCGGGCTAGCGACTGCCTCTGATCCGCCACGACGACCTCGGGATACCACCATGGAGGTCGGTCTCGCCAACTTCGCCTGGGTGACCGTCGCACTCCTTCGCAGAACCTCGTCACCCAGGTATCCTGGTCGACCGGGCAACTATGTCGACCAGCTGCTCCTGTATGTGCTCGTCGACCTCCCAAGTCGACAACCACACCAGGTCGACCTCACCAGGTCGACCACTCCTCCGGTCGACCAGATCCAGGTCGACGTCACTCCTGGTCGACCAGTGCAGTTGTCAGCTACCCAAGTCGGCGTCACCAGGTCGACGCCCCTTCTACGTCGGCGCCGACTTCCAGACTGACCTCTTGAAGTTGGCGACCTCCCAAGTCGGCGACCTTGCAAGTCGGTGACCTTGCAAGTCGGTGACCTTGCAAGTCGGTGACCTTGCACGTCGGCGCCGACTTCCAGGTCGACGTGCCACATCGCCGACCACCAGTTGAAGTCAGTCGCTGGCTTCCCAAGTCGGCGGTATTGCAGTGGCGCCGTGCAAGTCGACCAACCCCGTCGACCAACTCGTCCAAGTCGGCGTCGCCCACTGCTGCAAGTCGGCTGTACCTTCCGTACACCCCACCACGAAGTCGGCTCCGCCCAAGCGTGGACGGGGCCAACACACAACTCCCGTTGACAGATGTAACGGTTACTTCTTGGGGTGGATTGTCTTCATTTGACGGCTGAACCACATCTCCACTTGGTTGAGTAGCTGCTGGTGGCACTGGTGTGGCGCAGCTGGTCTCGTTGACGACGGCTTGCGGGAGATCGATGATGGGTCCGCTATGGTCAGAATTGGTGTCATCTCCGTCCTCCTCTTGTGTTGTTTCCTCAGGTGCTCTTGCTGGTTCCTGTTGGAGAGAGGGTGGTAGAGAGGAGGAAGAGGAAAACTTGTGCCAATCTGCAAGGGACATGTCTTCATAGAAGACCACATCCCTTGAAACCACTTCTCGCTTAGTGACGGGATCCCAAAGGACCCATCCCTTGCTCTCGTTGCTCATGCCGATGAAGAGGCCCCAATGAGCTCTGCTGTCCAGCTTGACTCTCTTTGCATCTGGAACACGGTATTGGGTCATGGAACCAAAAACACGAAGCATAGACAGATCTGGTTTAACTCCAAACCAAGCCTCATATGGCGTTACACCATCCGGTAGGGGCCTTGTGGGTCTCCTGTTGCGAACATAGATTGCCATAGTGATTGCCTCACCCCACCAGAGCTTGTCAAGGCCCTTAAACTGAAGAAAAGTGGTAGCTATTGCTTGAATAGTGCGATGAAACCTCTCTGCAACTCCATTTTGCTGAGGACTATAGGGACAAGTGAACTGTTGTTTGATGCCCAATGCCAACAACTCCCCCTGAAATGCTTTTCCCATGTACTCACCTCCTCGGTCCGACCTCAAGGTGAGTAACTTCTTCCCTGACTCTCTCTCAACAAGTGCTAGCCATTGCTTGAAACACTTGTGAACTTCATCCTTGATGTTGATGAAAAATGACCACGAAAAACGACTCTTGTCATCAAAAAAAGACACCAAATATCTCTTACCGTTTCGAGTAGGGTCTCGCATGGGGCCAAATACATCAGTGTGGACCAACTCTAGGAGATCCCTTGACTAAGACTTAGAAGGGAAAAATGGCTTTCTAGCTAGCTTACCCTCAACACAAGATGGACATGGAACGGAAGAAAGGGACTTGACTGCAATTTCACTCAAACTCAATCCTTCCACGCTCTTGTGATTCACCAACTCTTTTAATGCTTGCATTCCCAAGTGCCCCAAGCGTGCATGCCATACCTCAGCTTGGGAGATACTCCCTTTGTTGGTTGAAACAGCGGGAAGCGGGACAACGTCGTTCTTCGTATTGTTAGAACCGCGCTTGATCTCCAACTTCATATTGTAGAGCCGCCCGGTACGCTCGCCTTCAGCCACCAAATTTCCTGCACTGTCCCACACTTTGGCTTTCCCCCCTTGCAAGAGTACAGAGGCACCTTTCTCTTCAAGTTGTCCAGCTGAGAGCAAGTTTGCTCCCAAATCAGGAACAAACAAAGCTTTATTGACACAAAATGACTTACCATCCTTTTCGAACTCAAGCTTGCCGACTCCTTTGATAGGTACTTTGCCAAGATCAGCAAGTGTCACATCTTTTGAGTCATATGAGGGCTGAAAATCCTTGAGAATGGACTGATAGGGAGTCATGGTTTCAGAACAGCCACTATCAAGGATAAACTCCTCACTACTAGTAGAAAAAACGTGCATGCAAGTGGCGGCGTTGAAAAGGACAGGACCTTCAGAATCTTTGGACTCATTTTGACTTGTAGAATGACTTGCCATGTTTGCTATGGCTGCCTTACCCTTTTCGGATAGTAGGTGAGGTGGGGGAACCCAATTAGGAGGCTTCTTAGGACAAGCATACCACGGATGACCCCACTCATGACAACAAAAACACTCGAAATTAAACTTTTTAGCATTTGAGGCTTGGCTGAAATTATTGACTCTTGGCGTATAGACTCGTGCATTCCTAGGCTGATATTGATTGGGAATAGAAGGCCTTGGCTGGACATAGGGACTTGACTTATAGGGAGGACTTGACTGAGCAAAACGAGAGGGTTTGTATGGGTTGGAAGGTGACTGAAAATTCGTACCATAGTAAGGTTGAGGGCGGTTTGGGCTGAAATTTCCTTGCCTCTGGGATTGGTTGCCATATCTTGTAGCTGCTGCAGCACTCCACGCACCCTCGTCACTCCGCTTGTTTCGTGCAAGGTCTCGACTTTGCTGCTCGTTGACAAGGGCTTCGAAGATGAACGCACGGGTCTTCATTGATTGCGGAAGTGCTTGTAGTGTTGCACTGAAAGTGTCCCACTCCGGTGTAAGGCCGGTGAGGATGACGGTCTTGAAAAGAGACTCTGGAATCTCCAAGCCGATCGCGGCTGCTTCCTCTAGCATCGTTTCAGCTCGTTGAAGGTAGGTTTGGGCTGGTTCTTCTTCTTCCATCTTGAGACTCATGAAGCGGCTCCACATCTCGGCCTGGCTGCTCTCGGATTTTGACTGGTGCATAGACTTCAGCCGGCTCCATGCTTCCTCTGCGCTGTTTGCCTTTGTAGAGCAGGGTAGGAGCGACTTCAACTGCTGCTCGTGAATGCTATTGAGTAGGTAGAGGAAGGCCTCCTTGTTGCGCCGTTCGTAGAGTCGTTTTTCAGCTTCTGAAGCATCTGCTGCTGGTTTGGCTGCTTCTCCAGTGTAGTAAGGCCAGAGATCCAGAAGGGATGCAGTGAGCTCAAACTGAGTTGCCCATGTTGGAAAATCTTTGCCGTTGAACTTGGGGAGGTGAAGCTTAGGCATGAAGGAGGTGAGTGGTGAGTATGTAGTTGAAGAACTGCCTGGTGCAACTGCTTCCACTAATCCAGTAGCTCCTGATGTTGACTCTGAAGCTCCTCCGGCTGGCTGGAGTGCAGGGCCAGATGGGTTGTCTCCCGCCATGGATGGATTGTGCTAGGATAGGAAGGTGGTGGCGCTCGGTTGATCGAAACGACGGGCTCTGATACCAACTTGCAAAACAGAGTAGCTTTGATAACTGGTAGGCTGGAAACTTGGCTGGAAAAGCTCAACAGAGCTGCTGGACTTGGCTTGATAAGAGAAAACTTCACTATGATCAAGATTAACAAGCCCACTAAAGCACAACTTCTTAAGCATTACAAACATGCAGATTGATAGCTCAAACTAGGCTGCTAGACAAGGCAACTTCCTTGGGAACTTGGGCACAATTCAGATTCCATGAACCTTGAGTGATTTGAGAGCCACATGAGGTGCATGAATAAGAAATCTCTGGAATGTACTGTTATAGCTGATTCTGTTTTGTAGAAACCTGTAGAAACTGTCGACCCTTCTGTTTGAGAGCAATCCCGAACTGTATCGAGTCTTCGGCTGCAATCTGATTTGCTGCGGAAGTTTCTGAATTTTCGCGAAGCCTTCAATCCGTCGCCGACATTCTTGCTGCTCCTTGTTTGCAAAGGGCTGGGGCGGCAGAGACTCGATTCTCCAACAAACTGCAGGCAAAAGTGACTCGTTACAAAGCACAACAGTGTCGCAGGAAGTGTGTTACATTATTCGCAATTGCATCAGCCTATATGGAACAATCAGGTCTGTATTATAATCTACATAAAATGACTGAACAAGAATCCCCAGTGTAATTCTCATGCATAAATCCGGATTATAGCTATGTCACGTATATATCGTTCTGCCAAACATGTGACTGAAATAACACTGCAGTCTCAAAGAATGCGCTGCATGACACATTCCACTACGCAAATTCCACCTTTGAAAACACTCTCATACAATCCACTAAACAGCAAACATCCACCAGTTTGAACACTTCAGCGCCATCAGGTACTACTACTACAAATGGGGCAACAGGTTGCCATTCCTGCAGGACCTGCAGCCCA